AGCAGCAGCAGGTCACAAAGGCGTGTAGCTCTAATATAACAGGTAGAATCGTCAGATTTCCAACCGTCCAACGGTCCTTAAACTACTCATCTGTGTCCATCAGGATGAACAGAATCTAAGCCTACAATTGTGATAATTAAATCACTTTATTTTAAAATGTACAAACTATAAACCATTTTCTCCTTCTATGAAAATGATCAAATCAGCTCTACTCAGTTTAACCTTGAAGCCATCAGTGACTCACATGACAAACATTCAAGGACTGTTGGGCTGAAGTGCAGGTTGTTTACATCGAGCAGAGAGCAGAGCAGTGGCATCGAATTAAAGACAAGTAGCTAAATATCTTGTGTATGTGGAGCTGCTGGTCCAGAGGCTGACACTGAAATAAGAATTCTGATGATGTCAAGACAAAAAAAAACGTCCCTCGTATGTGCTCCTGTTTAATTAAGACTTTTCTGAGTTTGCACAGTTAGAAACTGTTTAAACTTAATAAGACAACCATAAAATAACTAACAGCTCTCTGTAGACTTGTGCAAAGACTAATTTGTCGATCGCTTGCCAAACACTTCAAATTCGAAAGCAGCTTCTCATGTGAGATTAATTAAGATTTTACAGCTATTTGAAGAATCGAGCCCTTCTTCTCGATGTGAGACACATACGGTCACGATGCCAGTTAGCATCCAGCGCCCGGACAGTCGCCGCGGTTTGGCTTCTCGCGGTTCACCCCGTTCGTTTCTCCGCCGTTCGTTTTCTCTGTTGAGCTCAGACCTTTGAACAAATGTCTCTGTTGTCGAGCCAGGGCCTCTGATGAAATGGGAACTGGTGTGTGTGTGTGTGTGTGTGTGTGTGTGTGTGTGTGTGTATACGCAGTACACATGTACCAGCTGTTGAATCAGTGTCACCAGCCCCCACTGGGACCTAATCTGCTACCTTACAGCGATTTGTGTGTGTGTGTTTGTGTGTGTGTGTGTGTGTGTGTGTGCGCTCGTTAATGCTCTCAGCCTGTGTGTGTCTCTGAAGCCTGGTGTGCCACTTGACAGCAAACACCCCTTCTTCATCTTCCAGCACACCCTCTGAGCACATACATACAGCTACACACACACACACACACACACAGACGCAGCATTAAAGAACCCGGCTGCAGGACGTTTGTTTGACAGCTTGTTGTGATCACTGGATGAATTAGGACACGTGACAGAAGGAGCCGGAGTGAAGGAAGATCAGGAGGTTTCTAAGTCGGGGTGTCCGCTGTGATTTTCCTCCCTGAGCCAGCTTCGGAGGATTTTATTTTTCTACTTTGCTGTCACACCTCAGCCCACAAATTAGACACATTTAGCACACGAAGGAAATAATCCCGAATCCTGCAGCTTAACAAAGTCACCTGAATCATCAGCCTCTCTGACCAGATCAGCAGCTTCATCGTGTCTGACAAACTCCTCGTGCTGAGCAGTCGTCTCTACCGCCAATCACAAGGGTTCCCTCGTTTAAACAAAGTGCCACGTGATTAGCAGTGATTGGCTTTAGTAAATTGTGGAGCAGCGGCCACACTGACGAGGGCTAGCCGGCCCTGTGGCTCCAGCAGCTTAAATCAGGATAATGCTCAAATTTTTCCTGTTGTTTCTGACTGTGGGGATGTGCTCCATCCTCCTCCATAACGAAACAGTGAGTTGTAGTAACTAAAGAAACGTATAACCACCGTACAGTCACTGTTGGCGTAGAAACCCTCCGGTCCGGCCTCCTGCTGCAGCGTTCAGGCTGGAACACTCAGCAGAAGTCCAACCAATCAGAACGTCAGAGCAGGGCGACATTTATCTTGGCTCCTCCTGAAAACTTGTTCCTATAATTAATGCCACAGCAGCAGCTAAATGTCAGTTTGTGCACCCACACCCAGCAGGTTCGTTCTCCGCACCCCCGGTCTGAGAGGCAGTCTTTCTTCCTGGAGATAGTGTTCGGTCTTCTGGAATTGGACTGGCTGCTGTGATAGCGTGGAGCTCATTACTGGCCTCATTTATCATCTCTTCTCTCCTCCCACTCTCTCTCTCTCTCTTCATCAGCTCAATGAATTGTTCAGGAAATCGGAGGTGCGCAAAGACTTCATGAGCGTCCGTGTCCGCAACCTGGCGCCCAGCAACTCCATCCTGGCCTTCGTGGAGGCCCACTTCAAACCAGGTGAGAGGAGAAACACAAACAGGAAATGTCAAAGATTACCGAACAGATTCAAAAGAAACTAGAGAACGATTCGGGGCCCCGAGCCAAAGAAGGCCTACTTTCCATGCAGACTCAGACCCGCACCACCTTGTTAAGTACATTTCATTTATCACTGATTCCTTTTGGTCTGCGAGGAAGGCAAAAATGAATCCGTGCTAGATTAATTAGTCCCACACAGATCAACTTCTTTAAAGTTTCTCTAAGTTTTCTCTGAGTTCCCATCACTGAATTTAATATTCCATATTTCAGCTTCTTGTGTAGGTGTGGCCTATTTAACGTCATTATTCTTCACAGCAGCTGCACAGGAGCAACCAGGTGGTGCCTGCATGTGGTCATCATAAAACTTAGATGGTGGCACAAACACATTCAAATAACTTTTGACAATTAATCCTTTAAAGAAACATCACCAGGATTTCTCCAAAAATCGTCTGAATATAGGTTAAAAACTTAAGAACTAAACATTTCCATTATTAAAATATCTCATTTAGAGGATTGTGCATCCTTGGCAGAGCCATGCGCTCGCTGAGTGTTTCCTACTTATTTCTTATTTGGCTCATGATATTGTGAAGCACTGAATGTTTTCCCTCACTTGAATCTTTTATTTTTAATTTTCTGTTCAATGCCAACTTAATCTCTGGCTTGCCTGTTTATTAAACACACACACACACACACACACACACACACACACACACACACGACGCCATGAGAAGGTTTCTGCCGCTGCTTTGAGTAAGCGAGTATTTCTTGTTGTTCGGCGCCAGGAGAAGTGACTTCAGCGGTTCTGCCAGTAAAGACTGTTGGCCTGTGCTCAGCATCTCCGGTACAGTTAAAGAACAATGTGTGACAGGAAGGAAACACAAGTGAAGATGCTAATGCAACCGGCTGTCACTCTTAAATTGGCTGAAAGTTCTTAAAAGTTTGTTGTCGTTGCTGTACAGCGCTGTAATCACAGTTAGGATCACTTCCCACAATTTCAAAGTGCAGAATATTTATTATTGGGCAAAGTAAGAATCCAAACGTATCTCAGAATGACTGGGTAGATATGTCACAACTAATCCTGTACTGACCAGAACACCAGCCTCCTCCTCCTCCTTCCTCCCTCCTCTGTTTTGTTTTCTATTTTTTACGGCTATCGTTCGGCGTCCTTCACATGGCCGACGGCTGCAGTTATGAGGCGCTCCTCCGTGGCCTGTAAAGCAAACATCTGTGGCGAACGTTATGAGAGCGATTCATCTGGAAAAAAGCCGGACAAGCGGTGGTTGGAGGACAAGTGGTCCGTGGAGACGCTCCACCTGTCATCCACAGGGCCGTCTGAAATATCCGCCGTAGCATTAAAGAAGCCTGCGTCCTGTGTTTGCTCCGGAGTGCTCCTCCGAGGCCTCGTCCTGAGTGGCTGTGCTTCTTGTTTGGTTTGTTTTTAGACACGAGGTACACCGTGGAGGACACCGTGGGGGCCCTGCTGAAACAGTTAAAGGCCTCCAAAGACACCAGCATCTCCGTGAAGAAGCCGGAGGACGAGAATATTCGCTTCACCAATTATGGTAATACAGTGTGGACTTAACAGAAGTGTGTAGGGATTAATAAAATGAAAGGGGGTGTTAAGTTATTCATGAGGTGATTTATCAAAGGTTTTATGGGTCCTGAATGGGAAACATCAGGACCGCAGGCTTAACATACTTTAATGTCTCTTTTTCCATTTCCTGTTGTTCTGCCCGGCTCTGCTGACAGGCCTGTCCTCCATCCCCATCTTCACCACCACCACCATGACGACCACAGCGTCGGTGACCACGGCGGCCCCCACCACCACCACCACCACCACCACCACCAGGTCTCCGCCCACCTCCCCTTACATCACACGCCGCCCACCGGGCACCACTCGCAGGCCCTTCAGCAGCAGACGCACCACCACCACCTCAGCACCGGCCACCACGCCCCGCCACACCACTGCAGCTGCCACTACGACCGCGCTGCCTCCAGCCACGACCATCGCACACGTCAGAGGCAGAACTCACCACAAGGCCCAGAAGCCCTGCGACTCCCACCCCTGCCTCCACGGGGGCACCTGCGAGGACGACGGCAGCGACTTCAGCTGCAGGTGCCCCGCCGGCCGAGGAGGCTCCGTGTGTGAGAAGGGTGAGCCGGCCACAGTCTCTTCATCCTCTTCGTATATATTAGAGACCGTTTTCGGCCCATATGTGTTATTGCTCTTAAATCAAAAGTTTCAAAGTGTGAGCTTTTCAAACTCAACTAAGAAAATGAGCCGGAACAGACTTTACCTGTAATTTGGTGCTGCTCTGATTAGCAATTTCAAAGAATTCACCAAAGGCTAACATTTACAGAGATTCTGCTGCAGCTAAGAGGGTTTTAGAAACTCCACTTCCCATTGTACCAATCAAGCCTTTGAGCTGTTCTGTAATCAGCGCTAACCACATCCTCAATGCTTTATTGTATTAACAAAGTAGGAGAAACACACCACTAAAAAAAACACCTTCAATCCATCCATCATCTCTACACCTTCATCCTCACTGGGGGGCTGGAGTCTATCCCTCAGGGTGAAGGCAGGTTCACCTGGACAGGTAACCAGTCTATCACAGGGCTACACTTAGAGACAGACAACCAAGCACACTCACATTCACACCTACGGACAATTTACAATCACCAATTAACCTCAGCATATTTCTGGACTGTGGGAGGAAGCCGGAGAACTCGGAGAGAACCCACGCTGCACGGGGAGAACATGCAGAAAGATCCCGGGTGTCCTCACCAGGACACAAACCGGCGACCTTCTCTTATATCATAATATAACGTATCTTCTCTATGAAGGATGACAGGACATCGCTCCAATAATCTGTTGTCCTCCATGTCTTGAAAATAAAAGTAAACTTATCAAATACTGAAAAAAGTAAAGACTTGAATGTCAACAGTAACTGTTCCTGTTTTTAGTATAACTTAGCAAAACTGTTAGTTTTATAAATTTAGATAAGAACAAATATATTAATGTTCTTTTTGTAGAAATAATGCAGTCATTCCAACCATCCGGGCATCTTAAGACTTTTCTTACTTCCGTCGTATTCTGTGAACCTCGGAGAGTTAACGGCAGTCGGAGCCCAGGACAGGGTGTCAGTTTTATTTTGGATTTCTTAAAAACTTGATAACAAAGAGCTGAGGTGTGCGTGAGTCAGACGCAGCGTCTTCTCCTCAGTGGCTGCACTTCAAACTCATCTCAAGTGGTTCAGACAGGTTCAGCATCTCAGAAACGAGCAGCCACTGAGCCGTTCACCAAAAGGCAACACAGAATCCAATCAGCGCCGCACAGAAAATCATAAATCAAAAAGAACTTCTTGAGCAGCACAACTCTTTTTGTTTCTTCCCTCTTACCCTACTTTGGGGTGTTTGGGAACGAGGAGCAACCTCATGCAGCTGCATCTTATTGACACTAATTGCTTTGATGGGGATTAGCTGGTTAGAATCAGTGTGTGTCTTTGACTGAGAGTGGCTAAATGAAACCATGCACACACACACACACTTGTACACACACACACACACTGCATGTGAACCTCCTTCAGATCAATTAAGTCATTAGAAAAGAGGGAGCTCATCAGCTGCCATTCTCCTCAGAGAGATGGACAGAAAGACAGATGGATGGAGAGAGAAGGAGCCCCGGGGAGAAAATGGATGTTAATAATCATAATTGTAGAGTCGGGGAAAAAAAACAACAAAGCTTCCCTGCGTATGCGTGTGTGTTTGTGGTGTGTGTAGGTGTGTGTGCATGAATGTGCATGTGGGTGAAGAACTGAGCTCCTCCTCCTTTTGATAAACTCATCAAGCATTTTGGAAAAAAAACCATCATTCCTAAAATAAACTGATAGAAAGGCTTGTTTTTCCACCATCGCTCACACTTAATTATGCACCTTAAAGAAGTAAATCACACAGTAATGACGTGACAAGTTTGTCTCGGTTCCTCCACAGTGATCAAATACTTCATCCCATCGTTCGGAGGCCAGTCCTACTTGGCCTTCCAGACCATGAGCGCCTACCACACGGTCCGCATCGCCATGGAGTTCAGGGCGTCGGAGATGACTGGCATCCTGCTCTACAACGGCCAGGACGGCAAGAAGGACTTCATCTCTCTGGCTCTGGTCAACGGCAGGGTGGAGCTCAGGTGAGACGTCGGGCGGCCATGAGAGCTGTGTTTGATTGGATCTGATGAGTGTGTGTTTATCCCCTTCAAGCCATCCGTCCAATGATGAAACTTTAACGATCCCTGTGAGAAACAGGGTCATTGACAGAGGATGTAAATAAGAATAAAAACAAGCATGCAGCCCTGAAGATAATGAGGCAAATAATGACAGTGAGTCAACATGTTGAAAACAGCAGCGCCTGAAGATAGATGGAGCTGCAGAAGCTTCATGACAGATCTGAACGGCTACGACCATAAAGGCTTTTAAGAATAACATTCACGTCGCTGCATTTACAGGTGACGGGAGCAGAGCTGTGCGCAGGTTGTCTGAAATAGGCATTTGTTATTTTTGATCACATGTATACAGATATAAGGCTGGATGTGGAAACATGCTGTTGGTATTTAAAGAAGCAGGGACAGAAATGGCAGATAGGTGCAGTCAGGATAGAATATCATCTCCAGACTTCATCCAACAAGTAAATGACGTCCTTCTTTTCTCCTGTAATGTCCTCTTTTCATCCACTTCCTCAGTGTAACCGGTTCAGCTGCTCTGCTTCTTATCAGCCGGCGTCACATCGCCTCATGTTCTCTGTTCATTTAAGAAGTGATTCTAAGATTTGACTGATTATGTTTAAAGCACATCGGAGTCTGCTCCAAAGCTACGTAGCCACCATGCTGACCCTATATGCTGCAGCCCTCGGTGGCCCTTCATGCCGTTTCAAGGTCGAGTCTTAAATTTAAGGAGTTTGAGAACAAGCTGCCCGCGGAGATAAGAGCGCAGAATCAGTGACTTCTTTTAAATCATTTCTTAAAACCCGTTTTATAGACTTGGTTTTATGTGATGCCTTCTTATGATGCTTTTTATGGTTTTTATTACGTTTCGTCTCCTTTTCGTGTTCATTTATATTGACGTTTTGACATTTTGTCGTCTGTCTTCTTAACTTAGCCGTGCTTCTGCTTGGCCTTCCTGTCTGGCTTCGTATTGTTGTGTTCTGATTATCCCGCTGCTTTTCTCTCTAACCCTAATTAAATTAATATTATTATCACGTTAAAGGTCATGCCCACGTAGCTGAGTTCCTGTGACTGGCTGTGGGCTGCACCGACGAGTCCAGGATGTAATTTATGGTTTTTAAATGGAGGGTTTCATGAAGAAGACCAATAAAGAAATAATGGATCTAATGATAAAACTCCAGATCCGGCAGCTCACTAGTGTTATGTGTCAGACCTTTGTTGCCAGGAAACGCCCACATGTGTTCCTCTAGCAGCAGGTTTGACTTGAAGCCAAAACTCACGAGTTTAGTGAGTTTATTCTGACATGTGAAGCTGGTGTGAAGTCCCGTTAGGACAGACAGAAAGATGCAAATAATATCTCCAGTATTATTTAGGAACAGTTCAGTTTCATAGACAGTTGAAACACGGAGCGTTCGTCTCTTCTCCAGAGTGGAAGTAAAAGAAGAAAGCGTCTTCAGAAGAAGCTAATTACAGATTCTGCACCACATCTGTTTTGAACCTATTATTTCAAACTTGATGTGATTTTTTTTATTTTTTTATTTTCGGGGTCTCATATTTCACTCTCACTCCCCAAAGTACTCTCAGTTTGGCCCAACCTGGCCAGGTTAGATGTCTCTATTCAGAGTGGAATCAATAGAAAACCAAAGGAGATCATTAGTCACTATGCTTTCAAATGCAGCTCTGCCTCAATTCCAGAAATACAGCTGTGAGATTACCACCCACAGCTCTGTGAATCCAAGACGTGGGGAGAAGAACTAATTATTTGTGGCAGATAATTGCTGTCAGGTTGTGCTAATACTACCGTATGTGTGGGTGCACATAAACGGAAGCGTCTTCCTGTCATGATATGGACTTTTTATTCAACAAAACCTCATTAGATAAAAGGTTGAGTTAAAATGAGGGCGTGAAAGAGATTTTTTAAATGAGTAGCTGCTTCATTTCAGTCACATACTGGAGTTGGGAATGCCAAACGGGAAGTTTTGTACCTCTTTCCTTTTATCCATCGCTGTCGTGTTTAGTCATGAAGAGACACTCGATAGATAACAAGGGTTCTCTGGAAAACAGCCTCCACAGGGGGCGCTGTCAACTGGTATGACGTGATTGTTGAATAAAGATGACTGAAGCAGCATCTAACATGCTATACATCAACAGGTTTAACACAGGTTCTGGCACCGGCACAGTGATCAGCAAAGTTCAAGTGAGTCAGGGCCGCTGGCATCAGCTTGTGGTGACTCGCAATCGGCGAAACGCCATGCTCAGCGTGGACAACGAGCCCCACATCGAGGGCGAGAGTCCCCGCGGCACAGACGGCCTCAACCTGGACACCCACCTGTTCATCGGAGGAGTGCCGGAGGAGATGAAGCAGGAGTAAGGCTTCCTTCCTACACTTACACCATTATGATAATAGTCGCCGACAGAAAATCTATCAGCTGTGGCTTCTGTCAAATTAAACCTTTCGGTCTACAGCTTTTAATATTGAGTTCAGTGTTCCCGCGTTTCCAGGCAGCGCAGTTATTTAGTGTAAACCTCCTTTCCATAGTAATTAACCCTGTTGGAGAGCTTGGAGGGTGAAAAACTTGCTGCGTTGAGCTCCTGTTGGTGTACGATGCCAAAACACAGGTTCATCAACGTAAAGCATTCTATCTGTTTGAAACTCTGTAATGAATATATCAGCGATACAATGCAGTATTTAGACTGTAAGTTCAGTATTTGAAACCCTCTGATGTTTCTAGTTTCACTTCGATATGAAGTCCTGCACCTCGATGGAAGCAGCACAGCCACAGATGGAAGTAGAGAGAACTTAAAAATGTCTCCTGTGCAGCATGAAACAGTAATAATGCTACAAATCATTAAAAAAAAGTAAACAGAAAAACTTGAGCATTGATTTTCTTGTATTATTTATTATGTTCAGGCGTTACCGATACATGAAGAAGAACTGAGACTTTACACACTGTAAATATTTTACATTTTAGTTTGTTTTAATGCTTTTAGGTTTCTTTGAGTTTTAAATTGTGTTGTGCAGAAATTAAATTGTGCAGAAAGTTTGAAATCCTGCGATTGTCTCTGTTTTACGGTTTCACAGTCGGATACGTGACCGGTGGTGTCATACCTGTAACTTCTTCTTCTTTCTTTCTGTCTTTCTTCTGTTTTCAGTGTCAGGGAAAGGACGGCGGTGGCCACGGGTCTGGTCGGCTGCATCCGCCTCCTGGACGTCAACAACCGGGTGCTGAACCTGCAGGAGACCGGCGGCGACAGTCTGTACGGCAGCGGAGTGGGTGAATGTGGAAACAACCCCTGCCAGCCAAATCCCTGCAAGAACGGCGCCGCGTGCCAGGTCAAGGAAGCTGAGATGTTCCACTGCAAGTGCAGCAAAGGATTCTGGGGTAAGATGCTGACAAAGGGAAACTTCATCGCTGTTGTTCAGCAGTTTTTCGTACAGTCACACCGGAATTTGTGGACAGTCGGGGGACTGTGAGAAGGTAATTCCAGTCTAAGTGCAGGGAAATAAGTAGAAAATACATCTCATTCATATGTAATTTTCAAACTTTTCCAACACCTTGCAGTTCAGATTATGTTTCTATGTATATCTCTGTGCTGCCTTCTCTTCGGGGATTCACTGTGGTCATGCCTTACTCACAAATCCTAAGTAAGCTTGACAGCCTAATTTGACAGTGTAACTCATGCCCCCAGCAGGAGGGCTGCGAGTCATTTTGTAAACACCATCGAATCTGTGTGCCCAACACAGAAATGAGGGATTAAATGTTGACGCCGTACAGAGAACATGAAAACTTTCAACAAATTCTCGGTGATTGGCCTTTGGCCTATCTCTCCCTCCATATCCCTTTCTCCTCTTTCTCTCCCTCCAGCAGATGGCAACTAACAAGCAACTCAGAGAGCATATAGTTAAGAGCAGACACCATCAGGGCCTAGCCAAGCGTGGCCCGAGCTGGTTATAGTGCAGCCTGCTGCAGAAAGTTTCTCGTAAGAACCAAATTAATTGTCAGAGTTAACTTTTATGCTTGAATAGTAAAGGATTTTATTCTCACATAGGGTCAGTGGTTATGAAAAGCCCCTATCAGCCAAGTTTTAAGAACCATTTCTTCTCATTTAAAATGTGTTTCAATAAAGTACCACATCACATTATTGTTGCCTTTCATGTGTTGTTATTATTGAGGAGTCTGGCTGTAGATAACCCACGACTCAGGAGAGGCGCCGCTTTGATGAAAGCCGTGTTAGCAACACGGTGCAAAATGAATGGTGATAATGAGAACTGGACACCTGCCTGCAGACTCACATTCAAGTTAATTTTGTCACGATGTCAATTTAAAAGTGGCCAAGATTGCCTGTCTCGAAGGGAGGGACGGATCACAGGCAGGGAGAAGAAAGAATAAATGGGTGGGGAGAGTTTTGGTTGGAGGGAGGACATGTCAGGACAGCCAGGATGAGTGATGGAGGTGAGAGAGTATTAGAGTTAAAAGATGTGAGAGGAGGATGAGATATGAAAAAAGAGCTGTGGTAGGGGAAGGAGTGAGAGCGGCGGATAAAAGACAGCTTCCAAAAGCGAGAATGAGGAAACGGGGGAGCCGTGTGAGCTCAGCGGGGATGGGGTCATTACGGCGCTCTACTCACCACAGGCTCTGACTGCTAAAGTAATGACGGGTGAATTCAGATGGGCTGTGGCAGAGGGCAACACCATCATCCAGCAGAGCCTTTCCCACGTCGCCTTGGCCCCAAAACATGGCCGCGTGGCGGGGAGGCTCTCCACTGTTTAATCTGGATGTGTAATATTTCTAAATCCTATTAGAAAATGACCTCTATTACCGAGGAAATCCTCACACCCCACTTCTCGCCCCTTTCTTGGCTCCCCCTCCTCTCACATGGAATCAAAGAGACAGTGGTTGGAAATGTTGCACGCTTCATCGGTGGATTTCTCACGCTGGATGTCTGTGTGTGCCCGTCTAGGTCCGACATGTGCTGACGTCCACGATCCATGCGAGCCCAACAGGTGCCATCCGTCTTCCCAGTGCCAGGCGCTGCCCGAGGGAGGCTACAAGTGCGAGTGTCCCATGGGACGTGAAGGGAGGCACTGTGAGAAAGGTAATCTGACTAAGCACTGTACATTGTGGTGTAACATCGCGTTTCATGCTTCATGCTTCAGTTGCTGTCCAGTGCAGTTTGGAATCAGCTGAGTAGCACCCTCCACAATTTTGCCTATTTTTCTCTCCTTTGCTTTCCGCTCTGTGACATTTCCATCCATCCTGAATCGAAAAGGGAGATCAAACGCAGGAGGGGCGGGTGAGCCTGCAGGGTGCAGGGGTTGGGAGGGTTTGTGTGTTACAGAACTGAGCTCGATGATTGGCCCCGTTGGGCCGTTCACCACACAGACTCGGCTACGCTTGTTAGCGGGAAAGCAGGAGTGAAGCGGCAGCCTTCCTCCGCTCCCTCCCTGCCTATTCACCCACAGGTGTTGTGTTCAAACATGTTTGTTGGTACTTCGTTTCACGTGGCAAAACCGCTCCGCTGCTGGGAAAAAGACCAGAGCACGACTCAGCTGCTTTTGAAGTTCATCATTAGCACTTTTTGCCGGTGTCGCGTTCTGAAGTCGACTCAAGTTTTTCCCCTTCCTGCCTTTGTAGATGTTGTCATGGATGTTTGAGAAGTTGACTTCTGCAGCTGCAAATTAAAGAGAGTACACATTGTGCACATTCCTGACAACAGAGAAACATGCACCCTTGTACCCCGGGGAGTGCAGAAAAAACCAGATGGGAGTAGCCTCCTTCCAAGACCTGACTTCCAGTTAGCAGGTGATTAAAATGAATTGAGGTGAACCAAAATCAATGATGTGTGAGCGAGAGCGTCTTCCATTCCAAAGGGCTATTTTTTCACAGGAATCAATGAGATGACTAATCGCATCAGTCCTCCTGCCCGCTGTGATTAATGGGAGCGTCAGTCAGCCAGAGTGTCAGCCCCAGACAGCGGCTCACCGATAAGGCGGCAGCCATGCCGACGTCCCCTCTGCACTGAAAACAGTTAAAGAGACAGGTAGCTTAGAGCCCACTCATCACAAGCCTGAAGGTGAATTAGTAGTAATATGAAGTGTTTGCATCTGAGTGTGTGCACTTTCTGCTGAGCGTGGTTTCCATTTCAAATCTGCCAGAGTTCGTGAGTCCGACTCGCTGATATAATATTCACAGTCAAGGACTTTTCTCAAGGGTGTTCCAGTGGTATTGAATGGCCTACTTTCCTCGCTGCTTTTACCCTGTGATAGTGTAAATCATTACAATTTAGCAATGAAAGCAGGATCACTTGGACTCGGCAGTCCATGAAAACCAACTGGCGGGGGGAGTTTAAGCAGTGTTTTACATTCAGCGGCTTGGCGAGGTGAAGTCAGCGACCACCTGAGTGTCTGCTGTGTGAGTCACAGGCAGCCTGAGTTCAACCTGCTGGAGAGCTGATTGGTTGTGGGCGGGACCAGGACAGCAGCACAATGTGCATTCCAGCTGCTTTGCCTTTCCAAATTTGATAGGGTTACTAATTAGATAGCATTCCTCAAATATAAACTAATGACGTCAGTGTTTACCATCGACCTTATCAATAGATGGAACAGCTCTCCAAGTGTTGCTGTTCTTTCTGTGGTATTTCAGCAAAGGATGAAGCTTCAACTTGACTCACTTCTCTTGATGGTCAAGCTCAGTCTGTCCATCGTGTGGTGGTGTGGCCTTTCCTCAGATTCCTCTAATGCTTTGGCCTCGATCACGGTGCTTTCAAGAGCTCTCCTATAAGAAACTCCATCCTGAGCAACTCCAGTTTAGTGCACGATTCCTTGTTGTGTGCAAGACTGTTTTCCCTCTCCTCCATGGTGCGTGCCATCATCATTAGCAGTCTTGTGCACAATAGCTAATTAACTTTCTCATCTCCGTCTGCCTTCTCCATCCCGACTCGACTCAGCTAATCCCAGCCAATTACCAATAAAGGCTTTCTTGCCGGCTACATGGATAGGTGTGCGTGTTGGTTTTGTGCGTGTGTCTGTGTGCGTAAGCCTCTGAATGATGGTACTTTTCGCAAACAACATCATAAACACATACCCCCGGGTGACACTTGAATGATTTTTAATGTCAAGCCACTTGTTCGAGGGATGGCACGGTGCCTGTCCTAATCACTCCAGACAGCCAGGAACGGGACAGCCAGACGTAGGCTCGTCGCAAAGAGATGAATTTGTAAAAAGGCCTGCCAAAATACAATGGCTGCATTATTTCATAGGTCCCGGCTGTGGTGTTAAACTCAGCATGTCTCCAAAGGCTCTTTGTTATACGGTGGCGGGCTGTGTAATCAGTCTGACGTAAGGGCTTCTGTTTTTTTTTTTTTTTTTAGTTTGAATTTCTGTCAAGAGAAAGTCTTAATCCTAAAGGCTACAAAAACACAAATCCATCTCTTTCCATAATGCTGACAGGTCTCTCGAAGATGTACTGACTATCCCTGAATTTCAATTTTTGTCAGCAACCAGAACGGGACCGGAGGTTGAATACAGTCTCTTTGTTTTTTCCAGTGGCTGAGAGGAGAGGGGCTTACATGCCACTGTTCAACGGAGACTCCTACCTGGAGCTGAAGGGTCTCCATCTCTACGGGCACGATCTGCGGTAAGTCCTCTGTCTCAGTGTGAAACCTACACAGTAAAGCCATGTATGCATTACTGAACGCTGGATATCATGTAGTTTTCATAGCCTGAGCTTGTTCTGTGCCTCAGGCGGAACTGCCTTCTGTAAGCCTGAACTGAATTCACAATGAGAGCTACACAAATAATGTTATCCAGACCCAAGCATGTAGAATACATCGTACCTCTGAGTATGTACTGCAGCGTGTCGCTAACTTTTGCATTTGTTGTGCTTGTTCTACACCTGCAGTCAAAAGGTCAGCATGAAAGTGGTGCTCATGGCCAACGACTCCAACGGGCTGATCTTCTATAACGGCCAAAAATCGGACGGAAAAGGAGACTTCATCTCTCTGTCTCTGAATGAGGGCATCCTGGAGTTTCGCTACGACCTGGGAAAGGGCCCAGCTACCATCAGGTTAGTCTAAATCCCCAGATGGAGAGACTTCTAAGGTTGCCATTGACTGTCCACTTCATGCAGCTTTAACCTGCCCGTCCACTGGCTGTGTGCCACTGTTTTCACAACCACCTTTACTTTGAGAAAAAACAGCAGCAACCTTCTGCTGCTTAGCAGAGGATGTGGATCATGCTGCAAGGCAGCTCTGCTCGTTTTCTATCAGTAAATTAGCCATTTTAATGACAGTTCTTGCCTCCCTGCATGCAAATGTTCCACTGAAACACCTCGTCTGTCTCTATTATGATTGGTGTGCAGAAGGTCAAGCGGCCCAGACTGCTCTTCCCCGTATAGCAGAATGATAATGAGGTGCAGCCAGATCATTCTACGCTGCCAAACGGTCCATCTGTGGAAGGCTGCCAATATTTGATATTCTTAAATATATAACAACAACACATGAAAGACATGCAGCTGCTGTAATCCCATGACGATTACGTGTAGCATGCTACACACTAAACACAGCAGGATTGTGACCTCCGCTGGTACGAAGCAACAGTCGAGTCAGTTTTTCCTTGTTTCTGACTGTTTGTGTGTTTGTGTGCGTGGTTCAGGAGTAAGGAGGCCATCCAGCTGAACGTGTGGAACACCATCGACCTGGAGCGCTCCAACCGCAAAGGAGAGATCATGGTGAACAAGAAGGACCCCGTTCGAGGAGAGGCACCAGTAAGAACCCAGCAGGCTGACGATGCTCTCGGTTTTCTGCTCTAAGCATGCAGGGCTGGTGGGCCGGTGCTGTGCTTTATCCCTGCTTCTGCCCATATATTCTCATCTGCGTTCCCGTATGTCATCTGCGCCACTTCTGGCTCCTACTCGGCCCAATAAAGATAATCCCAGTTACTAAATCAGCTACAGCTGAATCAGCAAACGTGACCTCTTTGCTGAGGGTTTGCACACAGCTTCACACCTCCAGGTTGTTGTGACGCTCTCCAGACATCCTTCAAGGTAGGAGGAAGAGCTCCAGATGTAGACGGTCCGTTTGACAAGCTGTCCTAATTTTGTAATTTTTTTTTTAACTCTCAGCTTGACACACAGAAATGAAATCAGCCTTTACTGCTGGTATACAGTCAGTTTTATGAATCCAGCCTTTCAGGAGGAGTCTGGGGAGGTGGAGGCAGATGAGAGAGATAGCAGCAGCAGCAGCGAGTAGAGCGTAATGAAACTCTTAAGCCCAGCGCCTAGACCAATAAAGCAGGTACATGCTTCCAAATGAAGGTGATCTAACAACCTGATAAGTCTGTAAGTCATCCAATTATATTAAACAGTGTAATTTGTGATTATGAACATGAACTGTGCCAACTCCATCATCCTCCTCTAAGATGCAACCCTTTATTTTCCCCCCGCTGCCTCCCATCGCCCGCATGGTAATTGTGTTTTAGTCCAGCATCAGAGGGAGAAAATCCTATTAAAGAAGAAGAGCAAGGGGAAAACGTGAAGATGGATGTGGGGCTGGAAAGGACGGCAAAAGGATGAGCTTAGACTAGTTATGGAGCTCAATGCAGAGAGAGCCTATCCAGTGTGGCTCTCAGCTAATTCTCTCCTACTGAAGCTTTAGGAGGATGTTGAGGGATGCTTTGCCCAGAGCAAACTGAACCATATCAAACATGTATGGATAACCATAGCGTGCTGAGATGATCATCATATCAGAGGCTGCTCGGGCTGAGCTTAATGAAGCACCAACGTTCAGAGGCACATAGCTAGGCACGGGAGAAACGAAACCTGCTTCACCTCATATTGTGAATGGCAGCGGTCTGTAAATAAGACTGGGCTAAGTGGCACTATTAACAGTCTCTCATCCATGAAGTTTTTTTTTTCTTTTCATCTTTTCCCAATGGCACCATCTGCTTCATGCATGCCCTTCTTAGGCTCGCCGTCTTATTTGCATTCAGTCTCGTAAGTGTGAGCACACACTGGCACAGCTTTGTGGTTGTAGGTATCCGTACAGTGTATTTCACGTGTCTTTATTCTTATTTAATGTACCTAATGTCTCACTTCTCTGTGCTACACGGCAGCCGCTGTTAATGCTCTTACAGATGTGTGCAGTGAGTGAGTACATGAGCTGATGTGTGACAGTGTGTGAATGGTGAGCTTCTGCACCTGTTTAGCTCCGCATGCCTCTTTGTTCACAGACACTTACTAGTCTTCCCCTAATAACTCTCTTCCTCCCTATTTTCTTTCCTTCTCTATGATGTGCTGTCTGGAAATAAGAAATCACGCAAGGTAATGAGACGAGTCCCAGTCACACCTTAGCCCGTGTTTCACCACGTCCCCTCACCCCATTTCTCCATGCAACACCGGGAAAAAAAAAAAGCTGCTTCTGCAGAGCTGTGGGCAGCTTTAGAGGTGCCAGTTCTGTAGAAAAGTTTGCCATTTCATAAGCTCCGACGCGCACACAGCACTGAAGAAGAGATGCTCTTAAAGAACACGGTTTGGCTTTCACCTCGGTCCATCTGCTGTGGGGGTGGAAGGGGGTGGCAGGGTGGGAGGCAAGAAGGAAAGAGGCAGTCATCTTAGTGACGACCATTGTTTTTAGCAACAAAGAGACGTCTTCATTAGCCCGGCGTGGGCGGGGATATTACGCCAGCGCCGCGTGCCTGTCGGAAAGTGAGAGCGAAGACACGGGAGGCGAGGAGGATGTATACCGTAGGAGATGTTGAGGTGCTAAGCCAAGCCAGGCTGTTCTTTTGTCATCTGCTCTCACTTGTTTTGCACACAGGAACATTCCTCCATTATGTCATGAAGTTTCTCACTCTGTCACCCACTCACTCGTTCATCACAACACAAGATTTACTAAACATCACTGAGCACGAGTCCCTGCATAGAACCAGATGTCCTCTTTCACCAGATTGTTGCCTGTCTGAGACACGACATGATGTACCATTTCATTGCATGAAAATTTCCCTTTAGACTCATACAAGAAGTACTTTACATACACAGATAGTGAGTGCTCCATTTCCACAAGTAATCTAAAACGAGATGCAAAACCAGGGGAGCAGGTTCAGTATTCATCTGTAACTTGACCTGCAGAGTAGGTGAGTGTTGGAGAACAGTGATGTCTACATAAAGGCCCTGAGGTGACCAACTTTGTCCTACAGTTGGTGACAACTTTTGGCAGAGCCTGGAGGCGCCAGCCACAGCTGGGTCCAGCAGCTCTGGCCAAGGTCCCTGCCCTGTCTCTGTTGGAAGCAGCTCAAGGTGCAGTGACACAGCCCCGGGCTCCAGCCAAGCACCGCTGCCTCCTGCACTCCAAATCTCATCCTAAATAAAAGCCGAGCCGACGCCAGCTTGCCTGCACAAAGCCTGTTTATTTGGCCTCTTCCATCATTTTTCCAGCAATTAACTCCACTTTACCCCTCTGGCAATTACTGCCCTACATAAAATAAAGATCATTAATTCCTTCCTTCTGAAGTGGGCCGGCTCTTCCATGCACAAGAAGGAAGCGGCACCTTGCTAATGCAAAGCAATTGTCCCAAAGGTTTGGTGGAAAGAATCGAATTTCATAGCCGTCTGCCGCGCAAATGAATTGCAATTAATGTGCCTCCACACTCAACTGTTTGAAAGGTCGGTGCTTATAATCAGCCATTCATTAGAGATGTCTGTAAAGGACCATCCATATCTCCAGCCTGCTCCTGATTTCCCTTTGTAGTCTCTTTTTATGTCACACAGATAGGAGATAATTGACCACTCTCTCTGAGAGACAGAGAAATCAATTATGTTGTAATGTATCAAGTGTATTGGCATGGAACTGAGGCGAGGAAGTGCAGTTAAAACCTCTGCTGGCTGCAGTACGGATAAATCCTTTCTTTTTTTTTAATGGGACAATCTATATGACTGTGACATGTCTGCAAATGTGGTGTATATGTATTAATCTCACTCTGTATATCTTGAGTAAAAGGATACGACTTATTCCAGCTCCCTGGACACAAACATTACTCGATTTACTATAATAAAACCTTAAAGCATTATGTCCTCAGTAGAATACCCCAGAGACAGACTGAAGGTGGGGTATGGAAACGATTAAACCGGGCATTGGGCAAGATATATGTGCAGCCTTTTTCTTGCCGTTGTGGCTCAGCAGCTGAAACCTGTTTGTGTCCTGTCTCACCAGAACACGCACGTAGATCTTAACCTCAAAGAGTCTCTTTTTGTTGGTGGAGCTCCCGATTACAGCCGACTAGCGCGAGTGGCTGCGCTCACAGAGGGCTTCAAGGGAACAATCCAAAAGGTAAGCAGCGACGAGCCTCTATTTCTGACAGGAATGTTGTGGCACTTATTTTCACAACTCTGGGCCCTTGTGTCCTGAGACATGCAGCAGCAAAGTCAAGTGATGAGTTATTAGCCGTCCAGCTGTCATACTACAGACCCTCATATTAGTCATTTTCCATTATAAGCTCACACTGTGACGGCCAGTGACTCTGCTCATTTGGATTAGCATGCACTAATAATAGAATGCACATTTTGAAGTCCCTCCATTTTGCTATTCTCAGATCTTTCCCTGACAGCTTTCCAGTTTTTTTTTTTTCCTTCCCTCCACTTTCCAGCAAAAAGCTCATCTCTGAGTGCCAAAAATATCTCCGTAGAACAAAGGCAGGATGTTACTGTTTGTGCAAACTTGTCATTAGTTCTCCTCTACAAACTTTCCCTTGACAGTTTCGAGCAAATCAAAAGCTAAATGTGGCATTTGTCTTCCTCGGCCTGTGGGGAATAGTTAATTATGAGGAAGATGGTATGTATTCTCGGTCTGATGTGCTGTTTAGCATGTGTGTTGTATCCACGCCTGCTTCCTCACACGCTTTCTTGTGCGATGAAAGCGGAATTCATCTTTAGAGGTACACGTTAAACTGAACCGACGGCATCGGTGCACGCACTCGCTTGTTTTGACGAATTAGGTTTAATGATTCTTAAGCAGAAAACACAAACCCCTTTAACTGGATGCTTTCCTTTAAATAACAGACACGAGTGGTAACAAGGAATCTTCAAGTGTTTTTGCTAAGACAGAAAAATGTAATCAGATAATTTCAACACCAACTAATTAAACAGAGCTAATGGACATGAAGCCAGGACCAGGATTATACTGTACAAGCAACCCCACTAAGAAAGGTCTCTCAAACATGATGTTATTTTACTGCCAAATCTTGCAGATGAGTTGTGGTCAACTGGTCCGTACCTAAAAAAGTAATTGAGCTTCAAGGAACTCTGTCTGTACAGGACGAGGATTTTGTCTGTGCTATTAGCCTTGTACGTACCATTAGCAAAAGTTTCTAACAATACCTGTTTGGTTGTTCTACTGTGGACTCGTGTTTGACTGCAATATAAAGTCCTGCAGCTCTATGGCAACAGCACAGCCATGACTAGAAGCAGAGAGAACTCAGACATGTCTTCTGTGCTGTATCTATAATGTCACGCTCCTAAAGAAAGAACTTGTATTTCTTTCTTTATTTATCATAACATAAAAAAAAGAAAAGAAACTGCACTCAACATGTGAACCATTTCTCCAACTGTGTTCTCAGCAAACAATGGAGGCTCCATATGTTGTAGGTTGATGTAATATTTAATAGAAAACCTGCTTTTCAAATCCACCTTCAAGTTTTGGGTGGAAATACTTCAGGATGCTTTAAGTTTGGCACTTATTTAATAATGAACACTGGACAAAGAATAATAGTTTTGATGGGCTTTAAAGGGTCCTCCAGGGATTTACTGGGATTCACAACAGAAACATTAAAACAAGGCTGAGATGTAATTCTTCAGTACATTTCACATAATCCAGCGAATACTGTGCTTGTAAGAGTAGTTCTGGTAAATGCCTTTTTTCATGTCCGTGCCTCACTGCAGCCTTTTGGTTACCTTCATCTGTTTAGTTCCAAATTAATGCATAAAACCAGTGGAGTGCTTCTTTTGAATCGTGTGCTTCCTGCCTCCAGATCATTCTGATGGGTACACCCATCCTCAGGGAGGAGAATGCATTGCGCTCCAGCAACGTAGCCATGTTCCAGGACCACCCGTGTTCCCAGGAGCCCTGCCACAATGGCGGCCGATGCAACCCCCAGCTGGACAACTATGAGTGTGTCTGCCTCAGCGGTTTCTCAGGGGGACACTGTCAGAACAGTGAGTATCTCTGCTACTGTCGTCGTCTGTCCTTACAGACATTACGTTTGTCAATGGACCACAGAAAAACCTCTGTGCTTAAGTGCATTTCCTACCCCAATTTTAAGCATCACTGTAATCGGTCTTTGTGCAAGCCCTTGGTTAACAATACTCGGTGGGTTGAGATCACCTTATCATGGCGGTGTGCGGCTGCAATGAATCATTGTAGCTGAACAAATTGTTCTATTTCCTCGTCCAACATTATCAGGTTTTGCTCTTAGAGGACACAAAGCATTTTGGCTGCTTTAAACCATAGTATGAGTGGGATTGAAATCCGCGATGCTTCCATGTAACAGCTTTTTCTTGGCTTGTCTCAATGGAAGGTAAAATATGAGGCTCATTTTTCACCGCATATAAGACCTTTATTTCCATTGTGTTCCGTCTGTGCAGGATGATAATGCCAATATTAGACACGTGACGGCTCTTTTATGTCAGCGCCGTTCTGTATTGATTTCAAACTAATGCAGCAGTTATGAAAATGATGAAATGTGTCAGTTGAATATTCATGAAAGAGTTGCACATCCCTTTCATCATCTTCATGCTACTCTGTCAGACGTATACCCACTCTGGCTGATCTGTCTCACGCGCTCAGCCTTCGCCATTAACCTTGTGCGTGTGGTCGGCCGTCCCTTTCACTGTAATTTAAAAACTACCAGCACTCCCCCACACCGCATTCGCTCACAACCCAGTGCCTTCGGGTCTGATAGCTGAGCCCTTATTCTAATCGATTGGTGTGATCTCATCCTTTCACCCCTCCTCCACAGCCATCTACGAGAAGTCCGCTGGAGAGACCGAGGCCATCGCCTTCGACGGGCGGACGTTCATTGAGTACCACAACGCCGTTACAAAGAGGTAAGGGAGAGGACAAGAGGAGCGTCGTCATGTATTCAGCGTCATCCTCCATCTCCATTGTAACAGCTATTAGCCAAATAGCCCCTCTGTCTCTCCATATCATCCCTTGGTAAGCTGTGATGACAGTGTCGATGATATCATCAGTGCCTGGGCTTCAGGGGTGAACTAGGCGCTTGGCTAATAGCTCATCCCCCATCTATGGCCGTTCTGCTTCGCTTTTGACAGGATTTCATTAATTAGCGAGACAGTTAACAATCACAGCGTTGCCCTGAGCGCGCTCAGTTCACTCTGTGGTCTGCGGCTTAGTTGGCGTAGGTGCTGGACAACAAGCACGCACCAAGATTAAACTTTTTATCCTATTTTTAGTGTGTGAATGTCTATTTTTTTTATTAAACTGGCATCCAAAGATGTATTGCCTGCAATTTTTAACACCCTGTAAAGGCAACAAAAAAAAAAGAAAAGAAAAAGCTGATGACGTGAACATGTAAGAAATCCTCTCCCTTCAGGCAGCTGATGAGACATTTTTACTCTGCCATCCATCTAAAGGCTGGCAAGAGTGCGCCTCCAGGTTGGCATAAACAAAAATGTTTATGTGATGAACCTGAAAAGACGTCAGGCATATGGTTGTATATCTTCCTCTCACAGCTCTTCACACAAACACTCAGAGGTGTGAAAACCGGGCCACAGCCTGCAGATCACCACCACCACCGCCATGGAGACGCACAACTCACACTCACTCAGAAACAACTGTGTCTCTATGTGCATCTCTGCTGCTGTGTGTGTGTGCATGGTGTCGGCGTTCCAGATGCGTCACCCTCGTCCTGTCCTTCAGTCTGACCTCCCTTGTCGTTGTCCACGTGTGTCTCTTGTCTCACATGAATGTCCTTCGCTGTCTTTCCTTTTCACTCAAGCCAACTGACCAATGAGATCCCAGAGTAAGTAGACTTTAAGACTGGCTGTTGTGTCCAGTATCAGATCAAGCCCAACTAACAGCAACAAAAAAAAGATCCATGTTTGATAGTTAACCCGAATAAAAAGATTCAAGTACATTCAAACCATCTTTACCGTTAAATTCAGATTTGCTATTCCAGCTCCATATCCATGTTTTAATTTGACGGATTTCATTACTTTAAAACACATTTTGTCATTAGATGCTTTCTTTCTTTCCAACGCAAAGGGAAGCATGGATGTGTGCATGATAAGCATTGTGCTCAGCCTCAGAGAAATGAATTGCCGTACTAGGAATGTGCAATATTTTATGCATGGTTGTAACTTGTTCACCAACAAAATGAATTGCCGTGCACTTTATGCTGAATGGCATTAAGCGCTGAATGCAGGAAATGAATGAGACCCTAGAAAACTGCAAGAGGAGGATATACTAAATACCCCTTAACCTAGTTTCTGATGCCTGTGGAGTTTCTGCTCGGGAAAACCCTCGGTCATGACTTAGTTATTAAGGGTTTTTTTTTCCCTTCCTCCTCATTAGCTCGGTAAGTAACCTCTTTTTAAAAAGTCTCACAAAGCGCCGAAGCAGAATTCAACTCAAATTAAGCCGACTGGATTCAGCCCAGAGTTCCAATCCATGCCAGGGCTTCTGTCATTTCATTTTTGCCAGATCTCTAACTGTAATTGTGAATAATTACAGAGTCGGCTGTACAGAAAGGCTGTGACATGTTAATCACAGATTTGTCTCCCTTTGTAGATTAGACCTCCAATTGAGATCTCTCTGCAGTGTGTAGCCATGGGCATCAATCTCACTTAGCGGGAGGGGACAGTGGTCCTTGGAGCCAGACTGTCAAAAGTTTAATGGATGTCACATTCGCTAAGAGCCTCAATGAGCATGACTCTAAGCAAACCAGACCCTTGGCGCGGCGCTCTGAAGGCGTGCCAATCAATTCAGCGTGATTTGATTTTGTAAAGGAAATGAATGAGCGTCTTCAGAGGTCATTAAGTGCCGGTAAGGCCAACACGTCAACCTCTCACCTTGGGTTAATGTGCCTGTTACTATTTACAGCAGCCTCTGATCACTCCTCCTTCACCTTCTCCTCCCCGTATCTTGAAAGCTCAGGTCGATTCGCTCAAGCTCCATTATTTCAGTGACAAATCATATCTGGCCATGACTCTCAGCTGATACGGAGCTTGACCCCATTTTTTGACAATTGCCCAATTTTTCTCATTCACTGCTTTCATCTCTAGACAGAAGGTAATTGCTGCAGCACTGTAGCGTGCAGCGCCATAAATATAAAGGAGTAGTTCAATAATTGGACGCTGACTAAGAGCGGACTTTGTAGCGGCGTGCACGCTGACCATGAATGTACTTAATCTTGTAGCTCACTTTTTTTTTTTTTTTTTAAATGCTTGATCCCGAGGCATTTTGCTGCATTAGTCATCCATCTAGCTCCGAGTGGTTCCCCTGAGAACCTCCTTTATGGTGTTGTGGTGTTATCAAGGCTAAGCTACACACTTCCTATGATCACACAACAGTTGTTATCGACTCTTGACATGGTCGATATTGTAGTAGAGCAGATAAGTGAGTGCTTTTTGCAGCTCCAGGTCTAAACTGGTTTGTGAGTTACCCAATGGGCTCACAACATCCTTCCTTCCTTTCCTTTTTTTTCCCTTCTTGCCCCCCTGCGCTCACACTGCATGCCGTTGACTTTCTCCCCTGCTCCCTTAAGTCCCGAGTCTCTGGAGAATCCGTCTGACCAGAGGTGAGTCTCTCAAAGCTTTCAGAACTCCGGTACCGTCTGCTTTCTTCGTGCCTCCTCATTCCCACCCCTCCATCCTCTCCAGACAACCCCTCCTCGACCCCTCACAGGGCTAAACCCTCCTCCGCTGAGACGACATGTTACCGTCAGTGAGATGGAGTTACCAGCACCGACCACAAAGAGCCTCTGCATGTGCTTCAGTTAATTCTGAAGTTCAGAGCTCTGTAGCTGTAGCCCCTTTGCCGCCACGGCTGGTTGTTATTCTAACCACTACTGCCACCTAGAGCTGGAACAGAGCTACACATGCTGAGAGGCCTTTGAAGTATTTGAATGTGAGAACTAGATAAACCCCTTATTTTCAAAAAAGAAACACCATCATACCAGAAATCTATGGAGCCGGTGTGTGTACGAGATTTAGAATGCTGCGCGGCGGCGTTGTTTTATTCATGATATATTCAGCACTTTTAATAACCTTGACCTTATCACTGACAAGCCGCTTCGATGGAGATTTATTGGGCCCTGTAAGCTCTTTGAGGGTTTGCCAGGAGAGGCTTCACCGAGCTGTATTTCTGTTTTGTTTTTGCTTTTTTTTTTCTCTCTCTCTCTCCAGGGAGAAAAAAAAAATAAATGATGCTCTGGAATCTTTTTTTTTTTTTGTTCCTGTTTACCTCAGCGGTTTCAGTTAATCAACGGGGTCGAAGTTTCTAACCTAAGCATGCTTTTGAAGAAGAAAATCTAATCTGATTTTGGATTTTTTCCGTCCTTCTGCTGAGGTGAACCAGCGTTGTTGTTGGCCTGAGCTGTCGCCTTGCTTCCAAAGTTAAATATTTCTTTTTTTTATGTCGTTGCTTATTATTTAATAGAAAATTCTCAGAGAAAATGAAAACACATTTCCTGCAGATTACAAAGTGCTTCACTCTGTTTCTCTTCATCCCTCCCATATCCGGTCCTGTGTGTACTCCCATGTGCTTCCCTGTTTACTACGCTGACTCTTTGTCTTGTCGTCTGTCTCGTCTAATCTCTCGCTCTGTGCTGCTGTTGTGTTTTTTTTTTTTATTTAATCCATGTGTCACTGGGTCTTTGTGGTGCGTGTCCTCACCTCGTACTTGTGCTTAAATACCCTTTGAAAGAATGTGAAAGTAGTTCCATTTGGCAGATGCGCAGACCATTGTACAAAAACTGATGAATGGAAATTGAGGGTATGATTGTGTAGATGCCCGCTGTGTCTCTGCTGGACTCACAAAGAGCCTTTGTAAGTGTGTTTGTATGCAGGAATAAATGTGACGGTGTTTTTTGTGCGCTCACACACATGCAGAGGAGGCACGTCGCTGCTGTGTGTGCCTTCCTCACTCAGTGGTGACGGCGGTGTACAGTGCCTCTTAAGGAAAGGCTAAAGTCTCCTCGTCTCTGCATCCAAATCAACCCTGCAGCTGTAGCAGTCAAGAGACGGGAGATCAAACAGCTGCCTAAACAAAACACACACACCAGAAACACAGGAAGCACTGAGCAGCAGTGCAGCTCAGGCTCAGTAGGATGCAGAAAGCTAACAGCCAAGCAGCCCCCTGCTTCTCCTCAACTCGGTTTGCGTCCTGATTTTCCTTCAATATCATTCTGTTTGTACGAGACCACAGAGCCCAAGCTACGGCGCTTTCTGTCTCAATGTGTAAGTAAACTGAAGCATATGTCATCCTGGAAACATGGCGAATGTACCTTTGAGACAGTAGCCGAGGTCCTTTGCTTCATATAAGCCACTACAAATAACACAACCCCACTGAGCTGTGGTAGCTGCCCGGAAGATTAAAGCTCTTTTTGGTGCATTAGACCCAAAGCTAACTAATGTATTTTCTGCTCTCCCAGTGAGAAGGCTCTGCTGGTGAACAAATTCGAGCTGAGCATCCGGACCGAGTCGACCCAGGGCCTGGTGCTGTGGAGCGGGAAGGGCGTGGAGCGCTCAGACTACATCGCCCTGGCCATCGTGGATGGACACGTCCAAATGACATACGACTTGGGCTCCAAGCCCGTGGTGCTGCGCTCCTCGGTGCGCGTCGACACTAACCGCTGGATACGCATCAAGGCCAGCAGGTGAGGAGGAGTGAAAGCTTTTACAGTTAGACCAGGATTAGGCCTAATCCACATTGTGTTTGTGTTGCTGCACACTGTGTGATCTCTTGCATGAATCCTCTGTTGCACAGCAATCCCCAGCTGCAAGATGAGTTTGATTAGTTTCAGATTAAGGTTATTTTCACGCATGAGTGCGACGCAACACGCATCAAATTGCTTCGGCACAGCAATGAATGTTCAAAAAGAAGGAATGTGCTCCTAAATCACAACATGTTTTGGCGTATTATAGAAAATGTATACTGGGAATAATTAATACAATGAATGCAAATTGAGCGTCTCTGTCAACACAGAGGCTGTATACTCACAGTATACTGACGGTTGTTCGAAGGCCGTGTATATGGACACATAAAGCACATTTAAAAAAGAATAATCTAAATAGAATAAATACAAATGAATACCAACTATGCCAAATACAGGTCCTCTGCAATGTTCCTATACTGGCCTTAGGTTTCTTTAATTGCATATTAATGTAGAATCATGCAGTACGTAAGCAGAGTATCAACAGCCATCCATTAAATGTCATGATCATGTCAGCTAGTCTCCTGCTCTGAATCAAATCTTCTATTGATTTAATTGCCACTAAACTGTTTGTCACACAGGAAACCATTCTGAGACCCTGACACGGTCCAGCCTTTCAAACCTCCCATTCAGACTTGTGGCATGTGTATGTACAGCTATACATGAATAACAAGGCTATAGTTTATTCCATGGATAATGGATGCAGAATCACTCCAGAGGTAGAAAAACATTAAATGCATACCTTTGTCACGCAGCGATGTCACAGTAATGGATTCCTCCATTAGAAGCAAATTAACCGCCTGAACTTTGAAAATGACCCATTTAAAGGGATCCGTATGATCTGTGCTTTATCGCCGCTGAGCATTTGCTTTCAGCATTGCTGTGAATGCAAGTATCTGGGATAATTAGATTGGTTTCATCATGTACAGCAAGAATAATCGATCCTCGAAAAGCTGCTGCATCCATTTCAAACAGGGATTTAGCCAAATCCCATCCGGGCTTACAGGGAGACCACATGTTGCTGAAAGATGACATAATTTGGATGCTGATGATGGTGTACATCGCAGCGTGTGGCGTACAGCTATCATAGTTACACAGCTATCTGTGTTTGTGACTTGACTTTAATGACAGTCTCTCTCTGCTGGAAGCCCACTTTGGTGGGTTCAAATTTGCCCTATCTTCACAATTCTTAAGTGTGTGCTAATGCACAGCGCGGAGCCACCTAAAATGAATGGGGCTCTAACAGCATCTGTTAGCTGAAAGACAGGCACATTTAGAAGACTGCTTGGCACAGGCAGTTATGTGACTGCTTAGTGTACTGGCAGTGGAGCAATAGAGTCTTGATGCTTCAGATTAAACCAAACTGCAATTTACAGCCATTCAGTGTGACACACATGCATCAGACTAACTTCCAACCGCATCTCTCTCTGCCACTCTCCTCCACAGAGCACTTCGAGACGGCTCTCTGCAGGTTGGCAATGAGGCAGCAGTAACAGGGTCATCGCCTTTGGCAGCAACACAGCTGGACACAGACGGAGCGCTGTGGTTGGGTAGGTGCCCACACATGCAAAACAGAGAAACCGTCATTAAGACTTGAAAATGCGTCTAAAATGCCACAGAACAAGCCAGGGGAACACTTGTAAATCTGTAGTGCTTTTTCACCACAGCCACGGCTAGAAGGCTGCCAGAAATGAGCAATGAACTCATTGGCATTGCAGAGGATAAGCAAAGTCTCTGGCAGAGAAAAAAGATTGCCGCTCGAGCAAAAAAAAAAAAATGTCCAAGCCTATTCAGGTATTGAGCTGAGAAATGAAAGGCTATCTGACTAACTCAAAAGTTGTCTGCTCTCCTGAATTGAAAATGACCAAAGTCGGCCCGTTATCTACCTCCAGTTCAATTTGGACTGAACTCGGCTCAGAGAAATCGTTTCTGAAAGAACACACGCAGCACAGCTGGATTCAACATTCTGTGGAAATAACGTTGAAGACGGGAAGCAAAATAAAGTCAGACTGTTCTTTAAAATGCACAGAGCGCTGCCAAGAAGAGGCAGGTCTGAGAGGAAAGCAGTGAGTGACATTTAAGAGGCTCGCAGCATGTCGAGGTGCGCTGTGCACTCAGGTACACTTACGCAAACACACACACGGGGAGGAAGTGCAGTGGAACAGGTGCTGAGCGAGCCCTGCAGCAAGAATATATAATCCTCACGCAGCCCTCCCATCGAGAGCCCTTCTCCTTTTTAAATCCCCTTTTCACTGTTCATCATTAATTCATCTGTAACCCGCATGAAATTAGCCCTGTCGACTCCCGATTCGGAGGCACGCAATCCGATTACTGGGGGCAGGGACAGGGGATGTAAAGAGCTCAATGGGGATATGTACTTTCAGCCCAGCAACACAGGGATGAGCAGGAGAGCTGGTCAATGTGGGGGAAAAATGCGCTACGCTAACGTGAAGCGAGGAAGCAGGAGGGTTCTGACAGATAACAGGGAGGGGAGAGCTGGGATGGCAGCCAGGTAAGACATCACAAGCCAGGGTCAGCAAGAAGAAAGGAATCTGAATATAGATGCTTCATGCTGACTTGGTGAGAAAGACACTAATGAGTGCTTTGGGTGTTCTGGCTTAAATGAGGAGCTGAAAACACCAATAACAGGAGCCAGCAGTTAGGTCACAGCGGCTCTGCAGGAGGACAGGAGGAGGTTTATTCATTTATTTATTCATTTGTTTTTAATTGAAACAGTGGATAAGGGACAGTTCAAGTGAAGGTAAAACTAAATGGAAAGCTTTAAAGTACAAACCCATTAGATTTTCATACTCATCTGTTGTTTTTACTGGTTGATGAGAATATGTTGGTTGGTCGGGTTACAGTGTGTCTGCAAATATTTGATTCTATCTCTTCATGGGACAACTGATGAAATGACACTTTACTCCAATGTAGAGCAGTCAGTGTACAGCTGGTGTAACAGCCGACATCTACTGTCCCATCAGAACAACTCATTACAGCCATTAATGTCTAAACCACTGGCAACAGTACAGCCCTCAGTGAAAATGTCCAAACTGGGCCCAATCAGTCATTTTCCCTCCCTGGTGTCATGTGACTCGTTGGGTCTCAGGTGTGAATGGGACCAGGTGTGTTAGGAGGGCATCCACAATAGGACCATCTCACTGAGTTCAATGAAACTTGGCCAGTTTGAAGGGTCCACCCAAAACTACTTCACTTCATCATCTATCCACACCTTAATCCTCACTAGGGTCATGGGGGGCTGGAGTCTATCCCAGCTGACTCAGGGTGAAGGCAGGTTCACCTGGACAGGTAACCAGTCTATCACAGGGCTACACTTAGAGACAGACAACCAAGCACACTCACATTCACACCTACGGACAATTTAGAATCACCAATTAACCTCCGGAGAACCCGGAGAGAACCCACGCTGCACGGGGAGAACATGCAGAAAGATCCCGGGTGTCCTCACCGGGATGCGAACCGGTCACCTTCTAGCTGTGAGGCAACGATGCTTTGATCAAATCTAACATTTAAATTGAATATTTTTCACAAGAGTTCCTTTATTCTACATGTCTCATTCAATAATTAGTTAAAAATATGTAGGGGCGCCGCTATAGCTCACCTGGTTGAGCTGGCGTCCCATGTACAGGGCTACAGTCCCGATGTGGAGGTCATGGGTTCGAGTCCCGCTCATGGCCCTTTCCCACATGTCCTCCCCCTACTCTTCTCCCCCACTTTCCTGTCTCTCTCTCTCTGATCTATCAAATAAAGGCACAAAGGCCAAAAAAAAAACTTAAAAAAAAAAAAAAAAAAATGTCATTTGCTCTAATTAGATTCTTTAAAATCAAATAGTTTTCTCTACATACACAGCTACAGAGCCACCAGTCAGACAGATACTCAGAGACTGTTTGCCTAAAAAAAACTATGGAGACAAGTTTAAAATGTAAGCTGCAGGTTATCTGATTATTGAGTATTCCTTTAATGTCTGTGGTTTGTTTGGAATAAATACAGTAAAGCATCGGCTAGTTAACGGTGCAGGACTTTAAAACCTTTAAAAAACAGAGCAGTCGGAGCTCTGGATGCGCTCCCTGATGGACGGGTTCTGTCTGGCAGGTTCACAGCACTGAACGCTGAGCTCCAAATAAGGAAACAAATTAAAAATAATGAGGATGTTAGGTATTCATCACTTTCTACTCCGTCACCACCTTTCATTCGTTACACATCTTTGAGCACTTTTCACACCGCGTCAAATTAACAGAGCCGTCTTCCTCTTCTGTCTTAGCTTAGCTTTGTGTTGTTGGCGTGCAGGTTTTCTCGCTCTTTGATCAAACGAACTGCCGTCCCGTCATGTCCATCCGCTGGTGTCATCATGCAAATATCAAAGGCTGTAATGCAACCCGACAACACCGGTAACTGCTGCGCCGGTTTGCAGCAGAATATTTCAGGGACAGCCGTTTGATGGAATTTTTAGTTTTAATTTGTTCTGAAACTTTATCCTGAGGTGTGATGTTTAACCCTCTGAACCCGCCGGCAGCATGGAGAGACACATTAACATTAGAAATTTGCCAAAATTCCACCATTTGTCAGAGCCAGAAAGTGTAAAAGCAGAAAAATATTTTGAATTTTCAGCTGTCTGACAGTCCTGGATAGACTCGTGTGTGATACATCCTTTGGTCAGAATATTTAACCAAATCTAAGCATATATTTGTGATGAAAATCACTTTATTTTACATGTTTACTGTTTAGAAATGTGCCGAAAGCAAACCATTTCCTATAACTAGATTCTGTAAAATCATAAAGGCCACGACTCAGCTGCCACCAGCAGTCACATGACAATAATTCAGGACCTTCTCAGCTGAACTGCAGACTGTGTTCACGCAGAAAATAAAAGATGTAAGCAGTAAAACATGTGTTCCCAGTTCTGGTCACACTGTGTACATGTTGATGAGTAAACATGCTGAATAAATATAGGAAGAAAGTCGCATCCATTACTGTACTGCTCAGGTGTGAGGTGGATGATCCTACTTTTAGTCATGGTTGTTCTGTTTTCATAGAGGTGCAGAACTTTAGAGCCCACAGTGAGTAAAAATGTTGGTGTTCAGAAGCTACAAGGCACAATGTCCATCCATCCATCCATTATCTATACACTGCTTAATAATCACTAGGGTCGTGGGGGGCTGGAGTCTATCCCAGCCGACTCAGGGTGAAGGCAGGTTCACCTGGACAGGTAACCAGTCTATCACAGGGCTACACTTAGAGACAGACAACCAAGCACACTCACATTCACACCTACGGACAATTTACAATCACCAATTAACCTCAGCATGTTTCTGGACTGTGGGAGGAAGTGGGAGGAAGCCGGAGAACCCGGAGAGAACCGACGCTGCACGGGGAGAACATGGAGACTCCACGCAGAAAGATTCTGGTGCCCCCACCGGGATGCGAACCAGCGACCTTTTTGCTGCGAGGCAACAGTGCTAACCACTGACCCACCTTGCGGGGCACAATGTGGATTTTACCAATTAAATTTCTTTGCTTGTGAAAATCTCGGTGGAAAACATTGTATAACATCCAACATGTAACAAGAAATAAGTCCTGAGATCAGGCTTTCAGATTCAATATTTGTAGTGAAAACCCAGGAGGTGTAACGTTCTGCAGATTTTATCATGGAAATGTAGGGATCAGTGTTTTTGGTACCTGAACTGTGCCTAATAGCTAGCTTAGCACAACACAGACATTAGTGTAGCTCACTTCACTTTCTCTGTTCTCTTATTTGCTCTCATTGTCCTCTAATTTGAGGGTATAAGTGTTCGGTTGATCCACAGTCGGACTCATCCCCGCCTCTGTTTCTCCTCAGGTGGTCTGGAGGAGCTGGCGGTGGCCCGTCGGCTGCCCAAGGCCTACAGCACTGGCTTTGTTGGCTGCATCAAGGACGTGGTGGTGGACGGCGTGGATCTCCACCTGGTGGAGGACGCCTTAAACAGCCCCAAGATACTACACTGTTCTGCTGCCAAATAGCCTGGCAGAGACAAAATACTGCAAGAAACAACAACAACAACAACAACAAAAAAAAAGAACCCCTTCCATCCGCTCCCTCCATAGCGCCCATGTTTCCTGCTGTAATTATTTTCTATTTTTGTATACTTTTCATCGCTTTTTATATGGAAAGAAAATGAATATGTTGTTTTAATTTTTGTTTTATATATTTTGCTGTTTTTTTTTTTTGTTTTTTAATCTGCACCTCCGTTCACAGAACACAGTTTCTTTCCCTTCATGGCCCTTCAAGTTTTTTTTTTTTTTTTAAGGCATCTTTGTGAAAAAAAGATATTTTATTTTTTGTCAATTGTGTTGTTTTAAAACAAACACCAAGTTTTAAAAAAAAAAGAAATCCATCAACCTGCCATCTTTCCTTACTCATTACTTGAACACAGTGGACCTCGCTGATGATCTCTGGTTACTGCCTTGTCTTGGTGCCATATCTATCGCCCACATTCCCCAAGCATGGCCCATACATACTGAAACATGGCATACATTCCCTCATGAGAACTGGACGCAGTACAAGTTGTAGCCGCTGTGTGCAGTTCTGTGATCCTGCAGCCAGCTGGTGTCTACAGTCAGGAAACTCTGTATTCAGCCCGCTGTATTTTCCTAATGGGACTTTATAGATATCAGTCAAGCTGCTACAGTGAGAAAGTACACAGTCGAAACTGCTCGATCAACCCCATCTCACAGCACCAAAAGAGAAAAAAAAAACCTCTCTGACTCCCATCAGAGCCTTTAGTTTTGAAATATGACTCACTAACACTGCAACCCGACGCGATGGGAGCGAGAGCGCTGCGTTCCACAATGACTCGCATATCATTAGTCATCGGTCAAGACATGAATCATAGACATTGATAAATGTTATAAATATAGAGTATATAAATAATACCTGAGACTGTGAATATGTACGATGGGTTCTCTTTGGAGAATTGTGCTTCTCATGTACTGTTGTGCGTTCTGTTCTACAATCAGCAGATGAACTAATGACCACTATAAATGCATGCACTTCTGCAGTGTTGGTTTGAATCTGGTTTTTCTTTGTTTGTTTTTTTTGTTTTTTTAATTCCCATTTAGTACCAAACAAATTCTATTTTTAAAAATGTCACTGTTTTGGGCTCTTTTTGCATTGATTCAATCGAGGTTCCTTCTTTTCTCTTATTTCCACGGATTTCAGAAAGAGTTGAGATTTATGTTTGTTCATTCCCTGTATGCGTCTGTTGTTGTTTTTTTTCTTGGGAGCAGTTAGTTTTGCAGGACCTTGAGTAGTGCGCAAGGGAAGAGTTGTTACCATGTCTGACCTTAAGGAGGTGCTGAAAGCAAAGACTGAAGAACTGGCAGGACAGCAAAGAGGCAAGGAGCGTTCTCTTGACTCCTGGGAACGTCCTGTCAGACAACAGTCAGTCGTCAACACAAACACTAAAAGCTTAAAAAAAAAAAAACTCTACCTGAGACTTAATTTCATTTTGCATTTCACCCAGGAGCATTCCTGGAGCTATCTACTTTTGGGCTGTTGAGTGAGAGAGAGAGAGAGAGAGAGACTGTGATGTTCTTATGACCTTCTGAAGCCATAACAGCCGCAAAAACTGGGAAAAGATGCGTAATCCTACACTACTTGCAAGTTAACATAGCAGCGCATGGGTTTCTACGACTAGTGTGTGACGTTCAGTGAACTGTTGCAGCGGGAGGCGTCTTTTCTGAGCCACAATAAGCTGGGATGGCTGACTTAAAGACTTTTGTTTTGATACGAGAACCTTGGCAATATTCTACGGCAAAGTCATGCCTGTTCGTGGTCGAGTATCAAATGGTCTTGTACTATTTTTTATTTTTTTTTCCTTTCATAAGTTCTTAATTATGTTTCCCTCCTTAAATCATCGAGCAATCTGTTTTTGTACAGCCCTGCAATTTTCAAGTGTAAATCTAGCAAATGTGTGATCTGTGGAGGTTTATGTTTTTAGTAATATACACTGGAGCCATGTCTGACTTGTCTGTTCACCCATTTATATACTTCTGTACATGGGGGAGGGATTCCATTCAATTAAAGGAACTTTATTTGCCCCGCTCAGGGCAGTTTCACAAAGCCCTGAAGCTACTACTATGCTAGGCGTGGATCTCGGCGCCAGACCAGGAAGCCTACGTCTGGTGTCTCCTAAATTCCAACACTTACTCTGTTAACTTGTGACTGGTCTTATTTTTAACACACTGTTCTTTGAATTTGATCAATTCTGGTGGTTACACGCGAATAAGAAGAGAATCCTGTGAACTTGGTTGGAGTCATGAACAATAAAGACAACTGCAGTCTATGGTTTGGGTGGAAACTATGAATTGCCTTAAAACTGGTCGCCTGGACTGTGAGCAGGTGACAAAGACGTCATCCATGTAACTGTTTCCTTACTTTAGCCAGTGTATTAGCCTCATCCCCAAATGTAAATGAGTAATACATAATAATAATAACTATATTAGTAATAATGCTCATACACAAAAAAAAAATATCCCAGAGGGCCTCTGCAAATGTCCCATCTGGCTTTTTACGAAAAAAAAATAATCTTCTATTTACTGTTTTTTGAATCTATTTTCTGTTCCTTATTTATGTCTACATGTGGATTACCCTCCATGTCTGGCCTCTGTAAACTACTGTCTGACTGCGCCAACCTCGTTAAAGGGCAGTGCACCAAGTAAGAGTGGCATGACCTGAACATTACTAACTTTATGACCTTTGTCTTGTGTTCCTACCACCATGAAATAAAATGTCAACCAAATAATGGAGGCCCTTCTTGTGACTCGTCTTTATTTTGTCGTTATCGTCGGTTATTTGGGGCTGCAGGGTGGTGCAGTTGGTAGCACTGTTGCCTCGCAGCAAGAAGGTCGCCGGTTCGCGTCCCGGTGAGGACACCTGGGATCTTTCTGCGTGGAGTCTCCATGTTCTCCCCGTGCAGCGTGGGTTCTCTCCGGGTTCTCCGGCTTCCTCCCACACAGTCCAGAAACATGTTGAGGTTAATTGGTGATTCTAAATTGTCCGTAGGTGTGAATGTGAGTGTGCTTGGTTGTCTGTCTCTAAGTGTAGCCCTGTGATAGACTGGTTCCTGTCCAGGTGAACCTGCCTTCATCCTGAGTCAGCTGGGATAGACTCCAGCCCCCCACGACCCTAATGAGGATTAAGCGGTGTATAGATGATGGATGGATGGATGTCAGTTATTTGGCGTTTCACCGCGCGGCTCGTTACACGGATCAGTCCACGACCACCTGTTCTTAAGTTACAAACTTAAGACTCCATGAGGACAACTGAGCCGTCTCCATGGCGACTATCTGCTGATCAAGATCATGGGATGTAACTGGAAAAGATAGCAAGTGGACCTTGTGTCAAGACTGTTTAGCCAAATATTGATCGGAGGCCAGAACTTATTGCACTCGTATCTTTTTCCTTTGCTCGGCGCACTTCAGTACTAATAAGGATGAAGACGTTTCTTTCACATCCACATCAGAGGAGCTTCATCTGGTGCAGCTGTAATTAAAGAGCGACTGGAAGAAGAAGAGGACCTTTACAGGTTTACTTTCTAACTTTGTAGATATTTCCATAAAGCTGGCGTGTTCTCGGTACAGTTTGGTGAGAAAGCTTCAGCCTCCTATTCGTTGAGGCAACAGAACTCTATCTGTGGCCTGTCTTAATGAGAGGTTTCCGCTCACATTTTTGATTGAATGAAACGTCCAAGACTAACAGTGCTCTTTCAAATGAAAAGCAGTTTTAGCTAGCCCACTCATATACACATCTATTTACAGCAGCTCTGGCTACAGTGATATTTACTTCTTAGAATTCAAATCACCCACAGCAATCTCTGGTATCTCGCTGCTAATTAAAAGCCTGAAATTCATGAGGAAAAAAAAAAAGAAAAGAGTAGCTGCTGCACAGCTTCATACATCATTTAGTACATCCTAAATCTGTCTTGAGCATTTTCAGTAAGCCTGAGACTTAATGAGTTTAATGTATTCCTTGCTAATGACAGAGAGCGACGCTGCATCTTGTGCTGTGTTCATTAAAACTCTATGAAACGGTGTCGACTGAAGAGCTTTGCCCGATGAGGGATCCTGCTGGGGAAAGATCGTTGTCAAGTTAATACGTGTAAGCAGCTTGATTTAAGGGTTTCCAGGGATCTAATAAAAACAAAACAGTCATATATGGAGGGAAGTGATGAAGCAGAGGATCATTTCTAGGGTGACAGTCAGGTGGCTTCAGGCTGAAACATGTCTGTTGAGGAAACGATTCACAGAAACAAGTAAGTTGAGTAACGGACTGGTTTCTGGAAAAGGAGCATCAGCAGGAGCACCGAGGCAGCCGAGCATCGTCACATGTGTGTGTTTTAAAGCATCGAGGAATGCAGTTTGTCCAAAGTGTATTTATCAATTATACAACAATCTTCTCTGGATAAAACGTCCTCACACACTGGACGACATCATCATCCGTGATGGAAGAAGCTGCTCTGAGAGAATGTTTTCTAAAAACTGGGACAGCTACGCCCCTGAAGTCAAAGACCTCGCCCATAAAGTTCCTCTCTTACAGCTATTTGTGTCCACATGGTAATAAAAGTTCTTTCTCTCCGTCAAGGCTCCAGCTGTCCAGTTGCATCACTCCCAGTATAAGACTTCTTTGTTTGCCTTTTCAATTTTTTTCAATCCTTGGAAAGGCAGATTTGCAAGTCTCAAGGCAAAAAGGGGTCAAAGGCCGGCAGCCTATAGAGGCAGCCACCTCAGGGTAGAGGGGACATCCTGGTTTCCATTCCCAGGGGGGGACTGGGCTTTGTGTTCTGGAGTCTATTTAGCCCCCTTTAGACTCAACAGGACATCAGTCTGCAGGGTGATAAAGAGAGTGGAGGTTTCAGTCCAGGAGCTTTACAGCTGCTATGAGTTTACAACTCGTCTTGTTCTTTGTTTGAGGAATCTTCTTCTGAGAATCCATCGTTTTCCATTTATTTCTGTAAGGTGTGAAAATCAATCAGGACTCTCTTCAGAACTTGCGTTTGCTGCGTAATCCATTAAGTGTACCATCACAGGGTCATTATTTGAACGGTGCGGGGGCATTTTTTTATCGATAAAAATGCACTTCAGCCGTACTTAGAAGAGAATTAAAGTTTCTAGAGTTGGCTAATTGATTTTCAAACTAAAAATAAATAAATAAATAAATACACGGCTGCCTGAAGCAGTTGGAAAAATATATGTGAAACCTCAATAGAGCAATTTACACTCTGGTTGCCATGGTGACGCCATGTCAAAACTCCACCTGGAGGTCTGAGCATTGGGCCTGAAGTTATTTCATTAAAGGGACCATTTTTAATGGTCACAATTACAATCTTGAAGGTCTGGGTTGTTTGTGATTCTCTTTCCAACACAGAAAAAAACACCCATAAACGCTAAAATACTGCTTGATGGACCTTTTTCTCCAACACACAGAGAAGCTTATATTAATTTGTCCCACTTGTCCAGTAAAATATACGCCTGTAGGTGCACAAAATTACAGTTTTATGGCTATAACTTCAATGAACAGAAAATATACAAGGGACGACTCAAACAGTAAATTCAGTTCAAGTCAATTTGTTATTTCTTGTAAAGTGTTAATTCACAACACACTTATCTCACATCGGGCCTTTTATTCTTTTTAGTTTAAGTTTTTAGTTTTTAACTCCAGTGTTTCCTCCACACTGGGGGCTGTGTGCGGTCTGCTGCTGGGGGTTCTGTCTGTGGGTCCCTTCGACCCGGCTGGTTGGGGAGCTCCTCACCTTGTTGTGGGGATCCCCTTGTCTGCCGGGTCCAGGGTGGGGGGTCTGGGTGTCGGCGCCCCCAGTGGTCATGGTCTGCGACTCCTACGGCCCCAATGGTAGCGTTTCCCACAATCCCTCAGTGCCATGCCATAGTTCCTTTAGTCTGGTGGTGTGTGTGTGTGTGTGTGTCTGTGTGTGTGGATGCATGGAGGCTGGGAAGGACGGGTTTTCTTTTATAACATTCTAAAATATTGTAATGTTTTTAAATGCTATGTTGTTGTTTTTTTTAAATGCTGTAAAGCACTTTGTGTTGCTGTATTGTATGAAAAGTGCTGTATATAAATAAAATGTGAAATTTGATTTGACACGTCATCTCATAGCACCACACATAGCAAAGACCTGATGAATTTAAACAGAGAATCCAGCAATCCAGAGTCACCTTTGGAGCAATCAGTCAGCGATGGTGGGATGGAACCAAACACAAACACCCTTTAACAGGAAGGGGGAAAAAACCTTCAACAGAACCAGGCTGAGGAAGACAACTATCTGCCTGGACTGGTTGCAGGGTAGCGGGGTAAATGGACCCTCAGTGTTGTATCACTCCCATTTAGTTTTGTACACTAAAAGCAGACTCAGTGTTATTCCAATAGTTACTGCTCACCGTCTTCATCAGTTTCCTCTGCGTATCGATCAGACAATAATGTCCTCCCACTGTGCTACAGGGTGATTTCAGCTGCTCTCTGGACCCAAACAATAAACTCTATATTCAGCACCATCCATCCAGCCTGAAGCACACCGCATTCGGGCATCATCAGCTAGAAGTTCCACAGAGAGGAGAAATTCCTCCTCCATCATCTCAGCGTTTGTGCGTAGGCTGCAGCAGCACACTGGGTCAAACAGTGGAAAAGCAAATCCATAGATGTGAAGCCTGTGGGCTCACAGACAATTGCATAAGCCCATCCATCCCCGAGTAGATTAACCTCCACTGATAACCACAGGCTGGTGACGTCAATGCTGCTCTGCCTCGACGCTCGCTGCTCCCTGCATCGCAGCTCCACCAGTCTGAGGGTCTGTCCCATCATGGCTGTGGAACATCAGAGGAGCTGCATAGATCCGCTTTACTGGAAAACGCTGGAGGGGCTGATTACTGTTACATAAGTAGTAAGAAAAAAAACAAAACAAAACATGATTAATCAATGACAAAAATAGGTGCATTCATGTTAAGACTCAGCCGTCAGCTCTACCAGCCTGTACAAGGCCACGTTCCTGTGATATCAGGCACTTTTACTTTATTTTTAGCAGAAGAACATGTTGCAGTGATGGACAGCAGCAAACAACATGTCTAGCTCAGGAATTAATTACCAGTTGAGTCGTCACATTTGTGTTTATCAGTAGGACCCTGTTTTTAATTTTAATTATAAGAAACAGTGATGTACTGCAGGTTGCTCAGTGGCCTTCAGGCTACATTAGAGGCTTGTGAAGCTTGTAAAATGGTCACTTTCTTTCTCTGCTCAGCCCATGTTCTGCTCTAACATCCCACACCGAGTATCATCATGTAAAGATGTTGTTTTAATAAATCTACTGTAACAGTGATGTAGCTGACTTGAATAATCCAGGAGACGACATTCAGGTGCTGCTGTGGAGAAAGAGTTCTCCCACTAAGTTCAACAGCACCCCAAATAAATAACTAATAATGATAATAACTAAGAATCAGAGCAAAACCTGCCGTCTGCTGCTGACATCAACAACAACCGGTCCACAGCCTGATGGGAGCTGGTCCCTGATTATTTCATGTTTTCTTGTAGTTTCACCAAAAGGAAAACTTATTGTTCCCTGGATCTCAGGTTTTCAGTTTGTTTTCTTCCCCACAAAAGTAAGAATAACTCTGATTTGAAAAGTCGCCCTGAATCTAGCTACCTGCCATTTTAATCATCCTTCAAAAGATAACATGATATAGCAGATGGAGAAACAAGGAACTATTTCACTGATAATGGCAGATCTGTTTCACTCACAATGTCGCTGAACAATCTGCAAGAAGAGATAATTTCCTGAACAGTCAAATGCTTTTGTGTTTTTTAATTGAAGTAAAGAGTCCAACCTAAAGACAAGCTCCATTTTAATGTCACAGGACAGTAAAGCTTTACAGAAACAATCTAAAAAAAAAAAACATCAAATATGATGAAATACTTTCAGAAATAACTTGTGTTGTAAGATAGAGGAGGATGAAAGCTGCTTCTGAACATGTAGACGCTTGTTTTTCCCACTAATTTATCATATTACAGTTCTGCTATCATACTGAAGACTGCCTGATGTGTCAAGATCCCCACAACCCTCAGACACAGGAAGACACACTTTGACAAGTAAATAGATAGTTACTACAAAATAAAAGCACGTGTAGGAAATATAAATAGGATAAATAACAAAATAATCACAAAAATACAATATATAAAATAACAGTGGGACAGCTGGCCGTTAAGCTCCAACACAGAAATCCTCCTGCTGCGGATCCAGTCGGTGAACAGGAGCTTTGTTTTGAAGGAGCTGAGCGGAAGTAGCGTGAGTCAATGCCTCAGCTTTACGCGCAGGTTGAACGGACTCGGTCCGCTCAGAGACTCGGCAGAGGCAGCAGGGAACGTTTGAGGACACTTGACAGCTCCCAGAGACTGCTATGACATCTCGCAGGTACAGTGGACTTTGTTTTCCCGTCCGTCGGTCCCGTTTCGCCGCCGAGCGGCCGCGAGCTGATCCGCGGACCAGACCGCAGCGGCGCCGCAACTTTAGTTTTTGCGCTGCGGACCCCCTGCAGCAGCTCATAGTTCAGATTCTGTCCAAAGAAAGATCCGTAGTGTCTGTGGTTTGTGATCGTGGGCTGGCACTCAGCTGTGTGGCACCACGAGCCCGAAAGCTGGGACAGGACCAGAACCTGGTTAAAGTGTGGTACCTGCTGCTGGTGCTGGTGCTGGTACCATGTCTGTGGTTCTGATGCTGGGTTTTTATTTCTAAAAGTCTTTAAATGTCAACGTTGGTGTTTGGATTCTGTTCTGTAGGGGAACCAGTAAGGACTGCTGCTCTGTAAATTAATTTGTTCACTATTTTAACCTTTAAACTAATTATTCACAACCAGAAAAATAAAAATATTATATTTATGTACTGTTTTTATATATATTATATGTACAGTGCAAAACTGTTCAAGTGGAAAACTCCACCATACATTTAAAAGCTTATTTCTTAACTCCAACAGAAACCCAAGTTCCCAGAAAGCTGTGAGCAGTCTGGGAGCATCCAGACCAGCAGCTTTTCTCCTTTTTGTTGAATCATCTCTGACTTTAACTTTGAGTTTGATTTAAAAACATCCATGTGAATGCACAGCAGGTGTGTTGGTGAGCCGGTGCTGGTGTTGGTGAGCCGTTGGTGAGCCGGTGCTGGTGTTGGTGAGCCGGTGCTGGTGTTGGTGAGGCGGTGCTGGTGTTGGTGAGCCTGTCAGAGCCTCTCAGTGATAAACTTTCAGCAGCTTTCCAGTGACGGCTGCTTAACATGCAGCCACGATGAGCACATTTCAGTCACTGACTCGTCTAACAACAGAAGCAGAACATGTGTGAACAGAACTGGGAACTGTATTTAAATGGAGTGTGTGTTGGCACAGAGAGCAGGATGTAGAGATGTAAAGGGTTAGTGTCTACGTACCACCGCTTTGCTCCACCATGATCTGAAACCCTCCTGTATTCTTTGGAAACTTCTACATTAAATTAAAGTGGTCTCTGCTTCCATCGTCTGTACAACTGCAGCCGACAGTGACTGGCCCAAAACAGAACATCCATCCATCCATTATCTATACACCGTCTAATCCTCACTGGGCTCACGGGGGAAACATAGTTGTTAATAAACATGCGTTGACTAAATGTAGTGATGCTGCCACACTGTGAGGGTCAACACCATCGATCACGCTGACTAATCAGCTCATACATTTATTGATGAATCAGATTTTATCCTGAAGGTTCAGATGTTTCTAACCTACAGCCTGTGGTCTCCTTCACAGTCCCACTGCACATGAGCCTCTGGTGAATGTAAACCCTTACATAGAGGATTATAATCCTTTCCTTCACTTTAGGAAAATCCCTGAAAAACCAGCGTTTAACAACAGAGCCTGGCTCAGGGCTTGATGGGTGAGGAGCTACAGGAGGCTGGACTTAGTCAGCTAGTATAACCTCTTGTGTGTATATGTTAAAAAGAAAAGGAGAAATAAATATTGTGAGTTGTGTAGTGCAGAAAAATGGAGCTATTTAAACACAAGTGCTTCTTTCAAGCTAACATTTTCTGAGCAAGGTGACCTCCGAAGCGTTGACTCCAGCCATCAGCTCCACTCATGACCGCTGTGGATGTTGTGGACTCAAGAAAATGCAGCATTAGCAGTCCCTGAGTTTACAGTCAACACAAACAGTCTATATGGGTGGAAAAGTGAAGTGATGCTGTGCAGGTTCAAAGGCGTGTTTGTGTCCTTGGACAGAACAAAGAGTCATGAGTTGGGTATCCTTCAGATGTGACATTCACATGCGGAGCTTTGTGGATCCGATTTGAAGACAAGTCGGTCGTGTTGCCTGTAAAGGGGGCAACAGGTGCTGACGTGTATGTTTCTGGTCAACATCCTCCTTCCTGTGGCGGAGATGTTCCCGTACGACTGACGGGGACTGGCCAGGATGATAATCAGCGTTTGATTGTTTACTGGTTTTGTAGACGATCTAGTGTCTTTGAATGAGGGACAGAGAACGACTTAACTTTTATGTTACATTTCAGCGAATGTACAAATTTGCAGTAAAATAAGACTTAAAGTAATCTTCTTCACCTGGATGTCGTACACTTTTTGGAGGAAATAATATTGTACCCAAACAAGCTTATAGGCAGACACTAAAATGTGCAGCTTTTCCCCAAATAACTCACATGCAGGCTAAAAGACGACCAAACATGACTGAGAAGATGTCGAAGTAAGGAGTTCTGATGTCAGGTTGACCTTAAACCAGGAGATCTTATCTACCGGGGCTGTTTTCTGGAGCGTTTTAATCAGCTGATCGTTTAGTTGCAAGAGCCAAAATCATGATGATGTTGTTCAGCCTTAAAGCTAATGTTGTTGTTTTGCTGCCAACTCATCAGTGTTTCCTTCACGTGTGGAGCCTTCTGTTTAGTTTGTGGACGGTGACAACCATCAGAGCTTTCTGTTTGTATCGAGCAGAAAACAAGCTGTTGGAGTCGAGCTGCTGCACTTCCTGCCATGTGGCTATTGCTCATATCATATCTGTGCTGAAATTCTTTTTTTGTTTTTCTGCAGCTTTAATAGCGCTAAACATTTCCATAATCATTGTCCGCTGCATTGCTGAGCTGCTAAGTGTTGCAGAGATGCAGCTCTGTGGTGTGTACATTTTATACTGTATAGCTTAGCTCTGCATCAGCTATCCAGTAAAATCTAAATACTTGTAAACTTGCAGCAGCATCTGTTTATTTATCTATTGGAAACATGTTAGGGAGGCTTTCCAGTTTGCTGGTCACCCATTTTTATTTGATTAACCAGAACAAGCTGCACACACACATAACCCAGTAGAGTTGAACCAGCATCAAGTTGACAAATATAAGCGTTAGTCAAATACCTGAAACTTCAACTCATGTTGCTTTAATTTCCAGTGATGTGGTTCAGATTAAATTGGATTTCTGTTGCCACCACAGCATCATAATAAATTATAAATAAATGTTTCCACACCTGATAAGAACAGTAAACCATAAAAACAAGCCATAATTTCTCACTTTATCCCAAGAATCCTGTTTTAAGCTGATTTATTCTTCAGGTGTTTGTGCTCGTGAGCTGATCGGAGGCCTCGTGGGCCAACGGCACCGACCGGCTCGGACCGGCGTCGGGGGAAACACTGAGACTCGGTTTGAAAGTTGTTTTCATGTCAGCCAGTTGTTTCCACGGCTTGTCGCTCGGTCGAGACATGTATGACTGTTGCTCTGCGGCTCAGCCTGTACTTCCTGAGCTGAATACCACAGGGGAACAATACCACAATGTGAGCCGTTCTGATCCGACAGACCTCCTCTGCTGCTGCTGATGATCGTATCAGTCTGCCGCCCCGTTTCAGGAAGGATCTCAGTTCATCGTAATGTCGGGCACGGCTGGAGTTTCTGCCTGTTTTCTAGTTGTTGTCTTTTGTAGAGCAGATTTGTGGCAGTTAAGTCATAAAGGAACCGTTTGCAGCGTCCCTCGTTGTACCGTCAGCGAGTGAACATCGGAGGGAGAACTGAATCGCTTTGCGCTGCTCTTCCATTTTTTATTTTGCCAGTTGATTCTGTTCTAGTCCTACAAACTTTCCACTATTGGAAAGCACCCCCCTCCCCCTTTGTTGATGGAACAGACCTCGTCTGTCACTGAAACTCATTGGACCAGCTGAGAACAGTGAGTCAGTTTTCTCGATAAGCCGACAGGAAAACAACAGCCCATGTGGGGGATAAGATAGTACTGCCAACATTTCCAGGAGTGCGCTGAGCCCACTGTTACAGCTTTTTTCTTTCATTTTTTTATTTTTTTCTTCCCAGATGCATGTTTTGCATTTTATTCATTTATTCAGACACAAAGCAATGCAGAGAGAGTTTAAGACACAAAACACGACTGTTTCTATCCACATGCCCGCTGCAGGGAAACATGCTGAGTAATAGTTTGCAAAAAATAGAAAAGAAAATGCTTTTTATGTGTTCAAGGTTTGACTTAGAAATGCATTCGTCAGACTAAGTGATCCATGTGTCTGAGCTGTGTTGTTATCAGGTTAATAAAGCCACTGCTGCTGGTTTCTGGACCTTCTCTGTAGATTTCTGACTTTAGTAAAAGTCACGCTGAATACGATTCAGTAGAAGTGGTTGCTTCTTCTGTCTCTAGTTTTCTCGTTTCTGCATCCGGAAGTGTGCAGCGAGGGTCTGTTGGGGTCAGAGCGATGCAGATGTTGTCGTCAGAGGGTGAACACATGCTCACATCTCTGGACGCCAAGTCGGCATGAAACCAAAATGGCTTGTTTAGATTAGATTTGTCAGCAGAACACATAAAATGCTCATTTTCCTCCTAGAAAGTAGCACAACAACAACGACAGACTTGTGCAGCTGTCTGAATGCACATCTGTAATGGAGTGTACCACTGACCTACACTGGACAAGAGGAACCAAACTAACATCAGCCTTCTACCTCCTCTCTGGTTGATGCCTTTGCAAACTGGCGGGTTCATCTCAGGAAGATGTGCTTTGGTTAAAAGCGTGTTGCTGATTCTTTCCATTGCGGTTACATCTCCACGTTCTGCTGTAAAAAAAAAACAGCGAGCTTTCAAAACTGAGAGTTTTCGTTTTGCGCAGTAAAACAAAAAGCAGAAAATCCCGGATAAGTCTCACCGCGGTTAAATGACAAAGCTGTGATCAGTCACATTTTCCTGTGGATGGAACAAGTGAACCACGTCTCGTCGCTTGTAAACCGTAAAACCCCTCCTGTTGTCTTGTTGTTTAATGCTAAATACGTTGTGTTTCTGCCAATCCACGTTATTTAATCCCAGTTTAAAATGCGTCGTTATGAGTGGAGCCATAGTGCTGTGTGGGGCAAAACGGTTTCTAGTTCACACCATCTGTCAACTGGCTTTTTTTCTTCATATTTGTCATCCAGAGCAA